TACGCGCTGTTAGCATTGGCAGCCGTACTAACAGGTGCTGCGTGTATTTACTGGCGTTGTAAACACGCCGCACGTTCTCGCTGGCAGCGGGCCAGCATGGTGAGAGAACATAACGTGCATCAGGCGCCTACACAAATTGTCGCCCCGCTGCGCGCGAGCGCGACTGTAGTATCGCGCGTCGCACCACAGCTGACAGACGAGATAGAGTTAACGCCGTTAACGGCGCCATTTCTACCGTCGCAACCGCTACCAGCCCCGACAACATGTATCCCACCTATGACGCTGCCGCTAATGACAGCAACACCGCCTCGGGGAAGTGAGGATCCCGCTTCACCCGTAGCGTTCGTTACCGGTTAGCACTAGGCGGGCAGGGGGTACTAATTAGTTATACGGTTAAGCGACAAGTATATGTGTAGCCATCTCGTTGTCATGCTCATCTATCTGTAGGTCCATGGTGTTTGAAGCATAGCGGTATGCGACGCATACCTCTAGTATATTATTTTATACCTAGTACATAGCGCGCATTAATTTCGCTATATAGTAAGTGCGCACGAATAAGCGTGGCGATAGTATAACGTCATGCGCTATATTTTTTTAATAATAACTAGCATCATGATTAAGAACTATAACGTATATTGTATATTGTTTACTATCGTATTAATTTTTTTCCACGCTGCGCAAATGCGTGGCGGATTTACGGTTTCTTTGCAGACGTGAACCTATATTATGAGTGCCAGGAATGGGAGCTGGCTTACGCGGGCGAACTGGTTGCCAGGTTCACCCTCAGCCCCATTATACTGCCGGCAGACACGCCCTGGGTTGCGTTCGTGCTACAAATGCTTGAGGGGAACCCCTGGTCCGCGCATCTGGGAAGGACGATGGCAAATGAGGAGTTCCTGTGCGGGTCGCATCTGACCCTCCCAGAGTATTTAACCATCATGCGAGCCCTGCTAGCAGACGGTTACGGCATCGTGGCCTGCTTGCTGGCTGATCGGCTGGTATCTGCCAATGTCCCGCACCCGCCTAGTGTGACGGCCTGCCAGTCACTCATACGTGGGAGCATACCTCTGCCCCCACCGGGAGTGACGGCGGCTTCAACTTCGTGGTGGAAAGGGGCGGCCGCAGACGACCACCGACGGATTCTAGCCCCCATTTTGGCCAGCCCCATCGTCTACTCCCAGTACCGCGCCGGCCTCGTTGTGCGCAATTCCATCTTAGTTGGCACGCACTCAGACAGATACTCCCCATTAATCGACTGGGGGGAACTCTACCGTGCATGGAGGATGCAATTCCCCTTCATGTGGGTTAGGTGGGACCCTCAGGCACTTGCGCTCGACTTTTACATTGGGGGGCCCCAATTACCATACCGAATTATGCGTGTCGGAGACGAAGGCGCCAACGGAGTAGCGCACAACCTCCTCGGCGCGGCGAGACTCCGCCGTAGGCAACAGCGAGACGACGGCTATGACTCGCCCGCGCCGATGGATTGAGCACAGCGCCAGCGACCTCGACATACCGAGCTGGCAACGACAGCGCGACCCCAGCGCGACAGGACGTCTGCGCGACAGGACGTCTGCGACACCACCAACAACAGTGTCGTCAACCAGCGGGTGGCCCGAAGCAGCAGCGGAGTGCACGCCGCCTGCGCCACGGGCCCACCGAGCCGCTAGGCCGCGCCGGAATGAACATTCCCATACCGGGCGAATTTTACAAACACTGGTGAGCACGTCAAACGCTCAAATATTATTCGCCCCGGGATACTACCACGGCGCGGCTGAGAGAGATGACAACGCAGACGCCTGGATGAGCAAATTGCCACCACTTCGCCGGTACGGGTGACGCCCTCCAAGAGGACCCCCCCACTACGACCAGAAAAGGCCACCCGAGAGGGAGAAGAAACTGTGATATGTGTATCTGTGTATCTGTGTATTGAAGTACAATCACACACATAGGTATATATATATATATATATAACATATATATA